ACCTAAGAATTGAACGTCAACTTCTTTTAAAGCCCAGTTGGGGGCCCAGGACTTCTGATTAATGATAGTGATGTCATTTCCTGTGTCTAAGATGCCGTTAATCATCATATTATTTACCTTAACTGGTAACTTGGGTCTATGATATTGTATAGAAGTTTGCCAAAATACATGTTTTGTATCTCCTCCTGACATAATTGATTCATCCTCTGGAGCTAATGTATTATCCAGTGCCGTATTATTTACAATGGGCAGTGGATCTTCTAATTGTCCTGAGAGAGACTGTCCTCCACTGTCACTGGGAATGACTGGATAATCTTTCTTTCTGGGGCTCGTTTGAGCCACTGATCCCCGTTTTTTGGCTTTAAAGATCTACCTTGTCTATCTCTTGTGGACCAGCATTCATTGGTCCAATGTTTGCCCTTTCCACACCTCCTACAGAGACCAGGAGGTTGAGGCCTTCTGTTTGACACATTCCTGGTAGAAGCAGTATTCCTAGGAATGTGTTGTCTACAGTTCCTACTCAGATGTCCCATTTTACCACAATTAAAACATCTAAAGTTTTGATGTCTTTTGAAACTTCTATGAACTGCTTCCCCAACCCAATTTGGTATCTCCTCTTGGGTAGGCCATATTTCATCCTGATTCCTCCTAAATCCTTTAGAAATGGCTTCTCCTATCCAGGTTCCTGCCTCTGGATTGTCATACTCAACATTAGTTGTATATAAGACCCATTCCTCCAATGGTGCTGATCTTACCTTTAATGGCCACAGAATCTGTTTGTAATGTGGGTTTGCATTCTCATAAGCCAATGATTCTGTAAGAAGTCGCCTAATATTAGGATCAGTTATTTGTAAATCTACTGCTCTGGATAATCTTTGTAAGAATTCAGAGAATCTTTCTCTTGGACCCTGTATCACTTTTGAATATGATTCAACTCTTTCCCCTGGTTCACGAACCTTATCCAAAGCATTTAGTGCTGCTGTTTTGCATAAATCAAATGTATGCTCATCATAACCAGCTTGGACCTGCGGGTCAGAAAATTGCTTCTCCCCCATAATCTTACTTTCAGAAGCATCAAAGCCATCCTTCAAACCTTGAAGTTCAAGGGCCTTGGCTTCCTGTCTCCACAAAGCTTTCCATTGTATTTGGGAAGACTGGTCCAACACTGCAAATATTAAATCTTTCCAGTCTGAGGGAGTTATCTTATTGGTCGTAGCCCATGTACTTAGTAACTGTTTTACATAAGGGCTGTGGACCCCAAAAGTCATTATCGCTTGCTTAATGGATTTCATTTCTTTCATGGGAATAGGTTCCCATTTCTGTGTAGTGGAACCAGATTGGTTCCTCCGTGATGATGGCCTTTCTACTACGGTTACTGGAAAGGCCACCTTAGGAGGTCTAGTAGCCGTATTTCATTTATTTCCTAGTAGCCTAGCATCTGTTGACTCAACATCTGATATTTCAGAGGATGTATCTTCTAAAGATTGAAATTTTGCAACCATGTCATCCTTTAGGTCTCAGATTTCCTGAATTAAAAATTGTTCCAATTCCTTGGACTGTTCATTGAGGTCTTCTATTTCCTCCAATAAAAATTGTCCTAAGTCCTCGGATTGTTCATTAAGGCCTTCGATTTTCTGCATTAAAGATTGTTTTAAATCTTTGGACTGTTCAGTTAAACGAGATTCCAAGCTTTTCATACCATCCTCCCTAAAAACTCCAAAGGCATCTATTTTTCCTTCCAGAAAACACATTCGGTCCACTAGATTGCCATTATTATCAGACATAGATTGAATTGACCCTGCTAATTTTGAAAATTCCTCCTGGTTAGATTCCATCTTAGCCATAAATGTAGTGGACATCGAATTGAATGTGTCTCGAAGGTTGTCCTGGTCAAATTTGACCAAATCCCCTTGTTCCTGAATTTTTAACTCTAACTTTTGAATTGACTCTGATAATTTGGAAAGTTCCACCTGATTAGACTCAGTCTTAACCATAAATGCAGTAGACATTGAATTAAATGTAACCAAATCCACTTGTTCCTGAATTTTTGACTCTAATTTTTGAATTGACTCTGCTAATTTGGAAAGTTCCACCTCGTTAGAGTCAGTCTTAACCATAAATGTAGTAGACATTGAATTAAATGTAACCAAATCCACTTGTTCCTGAATTTTTGGCTCTAATTTTTGAATTGACTCTGCTAATTTGGAAAGTTCCACCTGATTAGACTCAGTCTTAACCATAAATGTAGTAGATATTGAATTAAATGTAACCAAATCCACTTGTTTCTGAATTTTTGACTCGACTCTGTTAATTTGAAAAGTTCCACCTGGTTAGAGTCAGTCTTAACCATAAATGTAGTAGACATTGAATTAAATGTAACCAAATCCACTTGTTCCTGAATTTTTGGCTCTAATTTTTGAATTGACTCTGCTAATTTGGAAAGTTCCAGCTGATTAGATTCAGTTTTAGCCATAAATGCAGTAGACATTGAATTAACTGTGCCTCGAAGATTGTTCTGATCAAATTCCAAATTATCTGTTTTGGTAACTAAATCACCTTTTTCCTGAATTTTTGACTCTAATTTCTGAAACATAAGCTCATGTTTCTTCCAAGTGATTATATGTATTAATACACTAATCACAAGCATGGCACACATATACGTATGAAAAATATCATAATTGTCTTTTACCGCATAATCCATCACATTGGTAATGAAATCTCTAAAATCCAAGGCATGGGCTGTAATTTCAAGCCACTTCTGTGACACCAGATATCGAGGCTATATAGGGAAAACAATATATTTATTTATCAGAGAGAGAGAGAGAGAGAGAGAGAGTCGCACTGACCAGGAGTCAGAAGTGTGGCTGGCTTCCAGGAGAAAAAAAGGAAGCCCCTTTTCCTTTCACTTCCTTTTATCTACCTTGGCCCCGCCCTGTTGGGCGGATAGCTTTGTGGGGTTCACTCCTACACATCATAGTTTAAAATGCTCACTCCAAGTTGTGTCTTCAGTACTCAGAAACTGTTTTTCCTCCAACCTTCTTCAAACTGAGTTAAATATCACATTGATGAGGGGTTGGAAGAAGTGAGGACCCTCAGACATTGCTAATGCTGTAAAATGGTGTAGCCCTGTGAGAAAATCTGCATAATTTTTTTGAAAAGTTAAAATTATCTTGCTTTGTTTTGTTTTTGGATAGCTAGATACTGTGTTGCTTGAGAGTGAAAACAGGTTTCATTAAGTGACATATTGAGTCTTATTATTATGAGTTGTCAAGAACTTACGTGCAGCAGGAAATAAAGGAGAGCAGGTGAGAAAGGAAATGTAGACAAGCTGAAAGAGATTGTATTTTAATGGAGGGTAATTGTGACTAAAATTGGACATTTTTAGGACTTTTTGGACAGACATTATCATTAATACTTTGTAATACTTGTACCACATTAGAAATTGATCATTGTACATTAAAACAGTGAGAGTTGCAGCCATCAGCCTGTGTTTAAATTAAGCTGGAAAAAATGAATAGGCACCATGCTGTAAAAAGAAAATAAGATATTATGAAAGGGACTTCATGTGAATATTGGGTATCATTCCCATGTCCAATTACTTCCATTAGGCTTAACTCTAAATACAAATGTTCATCATGTGTTATAGTGGAAAAGGTAGCCATTGCTATCCCTTTACCTAATGATTATATTCTATGATATCCTAACACTTTTCTCAAGTGTTCCTAATATGAATATTTTATAAATATGTGCTTTGGGTTTTGAATCTAAATAGTATAAATTATACTATAGTAAAATAATTAATAAGCTAAAATTATTGTTTTGATAAATTAATAAATTGAAAACCTATAAATTTAACTCTGGCAATTCCCACTTCTGAAGGAAGTAAAAGGTAACTTATCCAGTTGTAAAATGATGCCTCACAGTACTATAATTTAGAGTCCCACCACAGAGGTCATCGTATTGAATACATTTCCTATGTATAATTTTTAAGAAAGTTGAACGTGAGTCCCCAGGTGATCTATTGATCCTACAAGGAGAAGTAAGTGTCCACAGAGAATCTAGGGAAAAATAAGGTTATAACAGCATTTCTAAGGGTACTCCCAAAGCACAAATGATTCAAATTCCCATCACTGATGAGAAAAACATACACTATAGTGGAGCCCTTCCATGGAATATTATTAAACATGAAGTAATACACACACTCATTTGTCCATGACCTAGTCAACCTTCTTTTACTTAAAAGAAATTCCTGACATAATCACCTCATAGGGAGGAAAGTTTAATTTCCTCCTGGTTGGAGAGATTTGCTAATTTTCTTAGCTCAGTCCTTGACTGCATTGGACCTAAGTTGAGACAACCTGTGGTTTAGAAAGCTCTTTTGGAAGAAGCTGCCCTCCTGGGAGACACTGGGATGCAGCAAGTCAGAGCAAGGGGGTGGTCTACCACCATATAGTGGTCCTGTGCTTGGGAACTAAACCTTTTAATGCACAGACTGGAGAACTTGCTATGCAAGCTTGGTCAAGGAGCCCTGGCATATACCATTTTGTGCACTGATTTGCAAGGTAAGCACTATATTGACTGATTTGCCTACTAGGTTCTTCTCTCAGGTTACCAGGCAGGCATGTGGTACACACATACATAGGTATGCAAAAAACCACACATATGAAGTAAAAATAAGATGAAAATTTATCAACACAGAGAAAAAGTACATCACCACATTCTTTATCTCAGAGCATCCTGTGTTTTTCTGCATCTTGGTGGGGATATACGTAAAGATGGTATAGGCTACTAAAAGCTACCCCTCTTCTCCATGGCATCCCAGGGGATCTCTTCTTACATTAGTGTATCTGGGAAGTAAACATGTGGATACAATGCAATGTGTTTGTATGGGTGCATCCTTGTACCTGTGTGTGTTCAGGAGTATGTGTGTGCATGCACATTCATGCATGTGTGGGTATATGGTACACAACTGTGCCCTAAGAACACAATCTTTTAATGAACAGGAACATCAAAGACTGGAGGAAAATCTTCAGTTCCTGCTGAAGCAGACAGAACTGGTTACCCAGCAAAAATACTAGACAAGAAAGATATAGCATCACTTCACTGAGTCCCAGATAAGGTAGGAGCCTAGGCTGGCAGAAGCAGGTGGAATCAAGTGGGTCCCTTGTACATGAATGTCTGTCCTCTTTAGGTTTCTGTTCATTTGGAAAGGCTCCCAGGAACAGTCAGGGAAAAAATATCTCAGTGTATTATGCTTGCTAAGTCAATGAACTTCTGTCCAAGAAACAATATGCTTGATTCTTATTCTTATGGGGATTGTATCCCCTTCTTCCCTTCTGAGATCTGTAGTATTATCTGAGTATCTCATTAGCTATTCCCACAAATATCAAATGGTATCCCCAAACCTAGCAGGGAGAGAGGCAATTGTGAAGGACAGTGTGTCCTCCACTACTTTATTTTCCTTCAGGAACATCACATTTAGTAGTAAGTTTCTACCCTTCAGCAGATCATCATGCAGCATACTCCTGCAGATTACATGCTCCCTACAGGGTTCCTCAGTTTCCTGTGAGATTTCTCTGGTCATAAACTGATTAGGAGTTGACAAGTTGATCCCATGCAGGGTCTGAGCTGTAGGAATAATGAGAGCCTTCTCTGCAGTGTTGTTTAGGCTCCACTAGAGGACATGCATAGTTTCCCAGTTTGCTCACATTCAGCAGGTATCATGGCCATGAATATGTTTCCTGAACTGTGCCTCAGGCATTGCTATACTGATATTTCTCCATAATAAGAAGGACATTTTGGGACCAGGAAAGGAGAGGAGGCTGGGAGTCCAGGGAAGCGGCGGTTCTTCCAGCAGCATCAGGTAAACAGGCCGGCTTCCCGGCCTGTGCTCCAGTGCCTGCAGATCGCCTGGGACCTGCACAGAGCTCCCAATCACGGCGGGAGCCAAGCACCCCAGACTCTGGATCTTCGCTCCCACCAACGAGACCAGGAAAGGAGAGGAGGCTGGGAGTCCAAGGAAGCAGCTGTTCCTCGGACAGCATCAGGTAAACAGGCCGGCTTCCCGGCCTGTGTTCCAGTGCCTGCAGATCGCCTGGGACCTGCACAGAGCTCCCAATCCCGGCAGGAGCCAAGCACCCAGACCCCAGGTCTTCTCTCCCACCAACGAGACCAGGAAACCAGAGTACCCAAGGAGACCAGGGGAATAGCTGTTCTGGATCAAGTACAAAAGGACCCAGCAGAGGGTCCAGGGGACCAGGTAAGAGGATAAGCACCCCAGATTCCTGTTCTTCTTCTCCACCCACGGGACCAGCATTCAGACAAGGAATAGAAGAACCACCAGATTATTGGACTTGCTAGCACCCACCAAAAGGGAACTCTGGTCCCCAGACCAGTAAGGGGCTCTTTCTGCATCCACTAGAAAAAGAGATGGGAAAGAGACAATACAAAAACACAATCAGCAACAGAAAAACAAATATGACACCGCCAGATTCTAGAGACTCCACACCAGCAAGACCCCAACATTCCAATGCGGATGAAGCAGAAGAGAACGACCTTAAAAGCACTTTCATGAAAATGATAGAGGCCCTAAAAGAGGATATTGGAAAATCCCTCAAAGAAATGGAAGAAAAAACAAACCAAAAAATGCAAGAATTGGAAGAAAAAAAACCAAAAAAGGCAGGAAATGGAAGAAGAAACAAAGCAAAAAATGCAAGAAATGGTAGAAAAAACAAAGCAAAAAATGAAAAAATGGAAGAAGAAACAAACCAAAAAAGGCAGGAAATGGAAGAAGAAACAAAGCACAAAATGCGAGAAATAGAACAAAAAACAAACCAAAAAATGCAAGAAATGGAAGAAAGAACAAACCAAAAAATTCATAAAAGGCAACAAACAGACGAACAGATAAACAGAAAATTGCAAGAAGCAATGCAAACACTGCAAGGGTTGAAAACTGAAATAGAGTCATTAAAAAAACACAATCTGAAGAAAGGCAGAAAATAGAAAAGCTGGACAAACAGACAGGCACTACCAATACAAGCATTACCAACAGAATAGAAGAGATGGAAGAGAGAATCTCAAGTGTTGAAGATACGCTAGGAGAAATGGATTTATCAACCAAAGAAAACATTAAATCCAACAAATCCTTAACACAAAACATCCAGGAAATATGGGACACCATGAAAAGACCAAACCTAAGAATAATAGGTATAGAAGAAGGAGAAGAAATCCAGCTCAAAGGGGCAGAAGGCATATTCAACAAAATCATAGAAGAAAACTTTCCCAACCTTAAGAAAGACATGCCAATGAAGGTACAAGAAGCCTACAGAACACCAAATAGAGTGGACCACAAAAAAATCCCCTCGCCACATAATAATCAAGACCCCAAACATACAGAATAAAGAAAGAATATTAAGAGCAGCTAAGGAAAAAGGTCAAGTAACATATAAAGGCAGACCTATCAGAATTACACCTGATTTCTCCATGGAAACGCTGAAAGCCAGAAGGTCCTGGATAGATATTCTACCTACACTAAGAGACCACGGATGCCAGCCCAGACTACTATACCCGGCAAAGCTCTCAATCACTATAGACGGAGAAAACAAGATATTCCATGACAAAACTAGATTCAAGCAATATGTGTCCACTAACCCAGCCCTACAGAAAATTTTGGAAGGAAAACTCCAACCCAAGGAAGCTAACTACAACCAGAAACACATAAGCATTAGAGAATCCCTCTCTACCAACAGCCAAAAGAACAAAGGGGTGAAACTCCACACATAATTCCACCAACAACAACCATCGCAAATCGAAGAAGGATGAGCAATCATTGGTCATTAATATCCCTCAAGATTAATGGCCTTAACTCACCCATAAAAAGACACAGACTAGCAGATTGGATTCGAAGACAGAACCCTTCTTTCTGCTGCATACAGGAAACACACCTCACCCTTAAAGACAGACATTACCTGAGAATTAAAGGTTGGGAAAAAAATTTTCAATCGAATGGACCCAAGAAACAAGCCGGGGTAGCAATCCTAATATCTAACAAACTAGACTTTAAAATAAAATCAATCAAAAGAGATGAAGGAGGTCATTACATACTCATCACAGGTGAAACCCACCAAGATGAAGTGTCTATCCTGAACATCTATGCCCCACATACAAAGGCATCCACATTCATTAAAGAAACATTATTAGAACTTAAATCTCATCTAAAGCCCCACACAGTTATAGTGGGAGATTTCAACACACCACTCTCACCACTAGACAGGAATACCAAACAGAAACTCAACAAAGAAGCAAAAGGGCTAATAGAAGTAATGACCCAACTGGGATTAACAGATATCTATAGAACATTTCACCCACATAAAAAAGAATATACCTTCTTCTCACCACCACATGGAACCTTCTCAAAAATCGACCACATACTTGGCAACATATCAAACCTCAGCAGCTACAAAAAAATTGGAATAACTCCATGCATCTTATCAGACCACCATGCTTTAAAATTAGAATTCAACAACAACACAAATTGCAGAAAACCTACAAACTCATGGAAATTGAATAATGCTCAACTGCACCATCCCTGGGTCAAAGAGGAAATAAAAAAAGAAATTAAAGACTTCCTCGAATTCAATGAGAATGAAGACACAACATACCCAAACCTATGGGACACTTTGAAAGCAGTGCTACGGGGGGAAGTTCATAGTGCTAAATGCTCACATGAAGAAACAGGAGAACAGTTATACCAGAGAATTAACATCACAGCTGAAAGCTCTAGAACACAAAGAAGCACACTCCCCCAGGAGGAGTAGACGCCAGGAAATAATCAAATTGAGGGCTGAAATCAATAAAGTAGAAACCAGGAAAACAATACAAAGAATCAACGCAACGAAGAGTTGGTTCTTTGAGAAAATCAACAAGATAGACAAACCTTTGTCCAAACTTACCAAACAGCAGAGAGTGAACATGCAAATTAACAAAATTAGAAATGAAAAGGGGGACATAACAACAGACTCTGAGGAAATCCAGAGAATCATTAGGTCATACTTTGAAAACCTGTACTCCACAAAATTCGAAAATTTAAAGGAAATGGATGACTTCCTGGATAGCTATCAATTGCCAAAACTAAATCAAGAACAGATAAGCAATTTAAATAGACCTATAACCCCTATGGAAATAGAAGCTGTCATCAAAAGTCTCCCAACCAAAAAAAGCCCAGGTCCAGATGGCCTCAGTGCAGAATTCTACCAGAAATTCAAAGAACAGCTTATACCAATTCTTCCCAAAGTGTTCCACACAATAGAAGCAGAAGGGTCTTTGCCAAACTCTTTCTATGAGGCTTCAATAACCTTGATCCCCAAGCCACACAAAGATACAACTAAGAAAGAGAACTTCAGACCAATATCCCTCATGAACATTGATGCAAAAATACTCAATAAAATACTGGCAAATCGGATCCAAGAACACATCAAAACAATCATTCACCACGATCAAGTAGGTTTCATCCCAGGAATGCAGGGATGGTTCAACATATGAAAATCCATCAACGTAATCCACCATATAAACAAGCTGAAAAACAAAAATCACATGATCATCTCACTAGATGCTGAAAAAGCCTTTGACAAAATCCAACACCGCTTCATGATAAAGGTCTTGGAGAGATCTGGGATAACAGGGACATACTTAAACATAATAAAAGCTATATACAGTAAACCAACAGCCAACATCAAACTAAATGGACAGAAACTCAATGCAATTCCTCTAAAATCAGGAACAAAACAAGGCTGTCCACTCTCTCCATACCTTTTCAACATGGTACTTGAAGTTCTAGCTATTGCCATACGACAACAAAGGAGGATCAAGGGGATACAAATTGGGAAGGAAGAGGTCAAACTTTCACTGTTTGCAGACAATATGATAGTTTACATCAATGACCCAAAGAACTCTACCAGGGAACTCTTACATCTGATTAACACCTTCAGCAAAGTGGCAGGCTACAAGATCAACTCAAGAAAATCAGTAGCCCTACTATATACAGATGATAAAAGGGCTGAAAGAGAAATCAGAGAAACATCACCCTTTACAATTGCCACAAACAACATAAAATACCTTGGGGTAACGCTAACCAAACAAGTGAAAGACCTGTATCGTAAGAACTTTGAATCTTTAAAGAAAGAAATTAAAGAAGCCCTCAGAAAATGGAAAGATCTCCCATGCTCTTGGATAGGTAGGATCAATGCAGTAAAAATGGCAATCCTGCCAAAAGCAATCTACAGATTCAATGCAATCCCCATTAAAATCCCAGCACAGTTCTTCACAGACCTTGAAAGAACAATAATCAATTTTGTATGGGAAAACAAAAGACCCAAAACAACCCTGTTCAACAAGGCAACGTCTGGAGGCATCACCATCCCTGACCTCAAGCTCTATTATAGAGCTATAGTCCTGAAAACAGCTTGGAATTGGCACAAAAATAGACAGGTAGACCAATGGAATCGAATTGAAAACCCGGGTATTAACCCACACACGTACGAACATCTGATCTTTGACAAAGAAGCTAAAAATATACAATGGAATAAAGAAAGCATCTTCAACAAATGGTGCTGGCATAATTGGAGACTGGCATGTAGAAGAATGTGGATAGATCCATGTTTATCGCCATGCACAAAACTTAAGTCCAAATGGATCAAAGACCTCAACATAAATCCAGCCACACTGAACCTCTTAGAAGAGAAAGTGGGTGGTACCCTTGAATGAATTGGTACAGGAGACAGCTTCCTGAACATAACACCAGTAGCACAGGCAGTAAGATCAACAATTAATAAATGGGACCTACTGAAACTGAGAAGCTTCTGTAAGGCAAAGGACACAGTCAGCAAGACAAAAAGGCAGCCCACAGAATGGGAAAAAATATTCACTAATCCCACATCTGACAGAGGGTTGATCTCCAAAATTTACAAAGAACTCAAGAAGCAAGTCTCCAAAACACCAAAGGACTCTATTAAAAAGTGGGCTGCAGAACTAAATAGAGAGTTTTCAATAGAGGAGTCTAAAATGGCTGAGAGGCACTTGAGAAAGTGTTCAACATCCTTAGCCATCCGGGAAATGCAAATCAAAACAACTCTCAGATACCATCTCACTCCTGTCAGAATGGCTAAAATCAAAAACACCAATGACAATTTGTGCTGGAGAGGATGTGGTGAAAGGGGGACACTCCTCCATTGCTGGTGGGAGTGCCAACTGGTTCAGCCACTTTGGAAATCAGTGTGGAGATTCCTCAGAAAAATGGGAATAAAACTACCACAAGACCCAGCAACTCCACTCTTAGGCATATATCCAAAAGATGCCCATTCATACAACAAAGATGTCTGTTCCACTATGTTCATAGCAGCTTTATTTGTAATTGCCAGAACGTGGAAGCAACCTAGATGTCCCTCACCTGAAGAGTGGATAGAGAAAATGTGGTACATCTACACAATGGAGTACTATTCAGCAGAAAAAAATAATGGAATCATGAGATTCGCAGGCAAATGGATGACACTAGAAGAAACCATCCTGAGTGAGGTAACCCAGTCACAAAAAGAGAAACATGGCATGTACTCTCTCATATATGGATTTTAGACATAGATCTGGGGAGTGCCAGCCTACAATCCTATGGCCAGAGAGTCTGGGAAACAGAAACTTCATTTAGTGGCTGATCGAAGAAGAGGCAGACTCCCTTGGTTAAGTACTGAGCTGAACTCAAGAAAGCCAGTAACAGAGAGGAAGGACTGATGATCAAAGGGATTAAGACTGGGATGTTTTAACCCCCAGAAACAGCTGACCAGACAAAGGTTAACTCTTGAATCCCAGGCATCAGCCTGGGAATCCAGCATGGGAGTGATCAAGACCCCCTGAATCTGGGTGTCAGTGAGGAGGCCTAGGTAATCTATTGAGCCTTGGGCAGCAGATCAGTACCCATCCCAAGTATACACACGGACTTTGGACTCCCATAGAACAATGTGAGGTGCACTCTCACCCTGAACTCTTGGGGAAGGGTCTAGGCCCCTTCCCTATATGAAATGACACACTATGGACACCCCCATGGAGGGCCTCACCCTCCCTGGAGAAATGAGGGGATAACGGGCCGGGGGGGAGGGCACGGGAGGAAGGGAGGGAATGGGAGAGGGACCTGGAACTGACTTGTGAAGCAACCTTGTTTCTTATCTAAATTTAAACTGAAAATAAAATTAAAAAAAAAAGAGGCAATATATATGTACAATCTAAAAAAAAAAAAAAAAGAAGTACATTTTGGACAGAATCAGTGAATTTAATATGATCAAGATAGAAAACTCCAGGTAACCATGTACTTGAATTAAATGTAAAGGTCTTGATGGGAGTAATAGGCAGATAAGGTAAACAAACACACATGATTTCAATCTATGGTAAATATAAAACAAAAGTATTGGCAGATAATGGGAGATATCTTTTTGTTTCTCATATTGGCTGATGAATAATACACTGTTTGGCCAATAGAGGCAGGAAGATAGGCAGGAACAGGAGATGAGGAGAATTCAGGGAAAGATATGCAGAGAGACTCCATGTAGCAGCCAAAAGGAGTAACAGGTCTGGGCCTTCTCTGGTAAGCCAAGAAGACATAGAAATACATAGATTAATAGAAATGGGTTAATAATTAAGACAGAGCTAGCCAGTAAGAGCCACAGTATTCAGCAAAAGGTTTTATAATTAATATTGTTTTCATGTGTTTATTTGGGACAAAGAAGCATGGGAACTTGAGGTAAAGAAAGAATCCAGAGACAGGCAGAGTTACAGATTAATGACTCAGGAAAAGTAAGAGCTCTCTAAAATGCTTTAGTACCTGTGTTACTACCAAAGCAAACTGCTGAACAATGAGCTATACTAGGGACATCTATTATGAACAGCACAAATAGTATAATATACTTGTAATGATGAATGGGAATCAACTTTCCAGGCAGCCAGAACACTCTACTTAAAAAATATGTAACTATGGCCAGGCATTTGTTGTGCACTACCTTTAACCCTAGCATTCAGGAGGCAGAGGCATGTGAGTTTGAGGCCAGTCTGTCTACAAAGCAAGTTCCAGGGAAACCTCCAAAGCAATACAGAGAAACCTTGTCTCAAAAAACCAAAAAAATAAAAATAAATAAAAATAAAAAACAAAACAAATAGCAAAGAAAACAAACAAAAAAAGTTAACTATGAATCCCCAAAAGAAGATGTGAAGGTGGATAGAAACTGACAAATCCAGATTAATGGCACAAATGGGAGAGAAAGTCCAAACAGGTTTACTTACAAATTGTCATTGTGTAATGATACATTGGTCAGGTCAAGGCCTATCTCTGGCTTTGGTACTCTATCAATACTGAATCTGCAAAACACACAGCAGCTCCCAATGCCACTAGGATGATTGGAGAGGTGGGAAACCTGGGGGAGAAAAGTGTTTTTTTTCTTTCCTTTTTCATGTTGTTTTATTATTGTGTCCTTTTATCTCATTTTTATTCCCTATAGCATTCCTTTGTCAGAAGACACTACAAGAGTGAAGATTGGACACAGAGGGACTTGAAGATGAGTGGGATTGGAGTGCATGGTGTGATGTTACGAAAGAATCACTAAAAATAGAAAATGTGTAGGCTAAAAATCAAATTTCACTTTTTTCCATTTTTTAATATGAACTAAGCAATAAGAAGTTGTCACACAAACAGACAAATAAGGTTCTAGGCTTTTAAAAATTATGAATATATTGAACAATTCAGTGTAATTTTGACATAGGGACAAAATTACTGTACAACAAGGCTTCAAGATTTTGTGTTTCAAACAGAAAATTCCACTGAACTCTTGATATATCCACAGAACAAGATTTGTTGATGTTGATGGAAAACATTTAAAATTCAAATGAAACTTAGTTCTTTTATTGTAAGAGAGAGAGAGAAGAAACATGAACACTGCTGCCAATCAATTTGCCTTTACAGAGATTAACAGAATATTTCATCAGATGACAGCTTATGACAGCAGGTCCAATACACACAGGACACTGTCAACATGCTCAATATTACTGGTTGTTAAACAGGTTAAATAAACATACAAGACCTGATATAAAGCAATGTGTGCAATCCAACTACAGGGAAATTAAAATGTAAGTTAAAAACAGAGGAGTATCTCTATGACTCTAGTACATGAAAATTCAAGTTTTTAATTCTTAAAGTAATCAATAGGTTAAAAGGGAAAGTAAAAATATTTTGAATCAAATTGAAAGTAAAATATCAAAATTTCTGGAATAAAGCTAAACAAGCACTACTAAACAATAAAACATTACATGATTTCATGTGAAACTGAATCCATGTGGATTTTAGTTTTTATATTGTAAAATAAGACCTTACTCTGTAGCAGGGCCCAAGCTACCTACAACTCCCTATGTAGCCTACGTTGTTCTCAAACTATTGGAATCCTAATTACCAAGGGCATAGATTACAGGCATGAAATATTTATCACCTGACTTAAGTAGATTTGTAATATGGGATATAAATCTTTGCATCAAAATTAAAAAGAAAGTGAAAAAGAAGACACTAATCAATTTTGAAAAATTCAATCAATTGAAAATAAATATGACAAGATGTAACAGAATATGTATATATACACATACATATGTATGTGCATGTGTGTATACATTTAAAATTAATATGACAAGAGTGAGAGAATATATATATATGTGTGTGTATGTATGTGTGTGTGTGTGTGTGTATGTGTCACTGATAAATCTCTAGGCACACTAGCCAAGAAAAAGGAAAGAATATTAAATTTACTCACATAGGGAATGAGAAATAGGATACTGCTGATCCCACAGGTACTAAGATGAAATAAAGAAGCATGGACCACATTAAACTCAGAAATATAAAATTTGGATTAAAGCCCACAATAATACTTTCAGAACTGCATTCTGCTATCCTGAACTTCAGAGTGGGCATTTCAGCCTCATGAGTACTTGGGCTGTGAGGAGTCACCAGGCTCTGAGAAGACTTCCCTGGCCCTCACTAGAGACATGCTGGACTAGGAGACTGCAGCCAAGAAGGATGTTTTGCCTTCACCTCAACTGCACAAGAACTGGGAAGCACAGATTCTGAGGAGATGTCAGTCTCCAAACTGAGGGCTCACTCCTCAGAGACCCTGGACCCTGCCATCCTGGCCTAGGGTTGCTTTCACCATGCTGTACCCCAAAGACCTCTTCTTCAATGTCTGGGCAGTGTATCATCAGTTCTTTAATGGCCTCTAGGCTGAGCATGCTCAATTGTCCAGACAGGGAGCACAAGTTAGGAGAGGGAGGTTAACAGTCTGGATGCTCATTGGTTCAGAGTGCCTCAGGGGTAGGCTTAACCCAACATGCCATTTATCATTGAATGTGTTGGTTGTGACTCTATTTGAAGGCCAGTACTTTCTGGTGATATGTGTTGGCTTTGATGGGAAGGGCCAGGATTGTCTCAAGGATGACAACATTGTGGATTATCTGAACACTGGTGGTCTACACATTGCACATTTCCAGCTCAGCACAGGACAATGGGATCTTCCTGGTTTTGTCATGAATCAGAGAAGGAAAGTCATGTGTCCAGAGCTGCACACCTACCATGCCACAGTTCTTGTTCTGTTTCACATTGCCTCATCTCATATTTTCTTAACTGGCCTAGCCACATCTCACCTAGAGAAGAAAACCTGTTTGGCCCTGCCTGTTAGGTAATCAGATCATGCTGCTTTATTGCAAAGATGAAAAAAATTATACTGACAAGCTGATAGTCACTTTCTCAAAATCATACAGCTGCATGGATATGACAGGGACTCCTCATAAATCAAGTCCACAAATAGATACGATAGTTTGTTTCTACTCTGCAGAAATAGCAAAGAACTATTTCTTTTAGTCCTAGTGGGAAGCTGGACCTAGTGATGTTGGTTTTCTATTAGGCTATTATCTTGGAATTCCTGTGATTCATCCTGGATAGGGTGCTTATGTCAGACAAGTATACCCTTTCCTTTCATTCTCCTGTCCAAGCAATTTAGGAAACATTAGGCATGTAAAAGGATAATATTGAACCCACAACAATTTGACAGAAAATCATGAATTAATGAAACTGACAACTGCATTATAAAACTGTTGCTTTACTAATATAAAATTTCTGTTACCTTTTATTTTTATTAAAATAATAATGTGTTTGCTGCTTACTCTTTTTAGTTTTCAGTATTCATCCATGAATTGAAGTAAAAGCCCTATTTAAATATTTATGAAATGTGTTTTCAACAAAAATGTAATTTGACTACCCAAAATTTGTATTTTTAAGTTTCTCTGAACAATTTTACACTAGTGAATGATAGCCAAATTCAAAAGAATAATATTAAAATTATGTTATGATGATTGGGAATAAAATATAAATTCAAAGTCATAATACATCACAATAAGTTGACAGCTAATAAAAATAAAATTCTCTAAATGCTGTGGACATGTGTGAAATAAACAAGAATCAATCCACACCCATGTGCCCAGCTTCACCCTGCCAATTGGCCCCACCATCAGCTCCCCACACCAGAATCTAGAGATTATACACCAGCAAGACCTGAAAAGCAAAATACAGATGAAACAGAAGAGACAGAACTTAAAATTTATTTTATGAATGTAATAGAGACCCTCAAAGAGGAAATGAGAAAACCCCTTAAAGAAGTGGAAAAAGAAACCAAAAAATTCAAGAAATAAAAAAATCTCTTAAAGAATCTAAGGAGAGTCAAAAAAAAAAACAAACAAACAAGTGAAGGAAACAACTCAAACAGTCAAATTCTTGAAAACTGAAATAGAATCAATAAAGAAACCACAGAATGAGGCAATGCTGGAAATAGAAAATAATTGATCAGGAAGTATAGATCTAAGTACAACCAATAGAATACAAAAGATGGAAGAGAGAATCTCAGGTGTTGAATACTCATTAGAGGATATACAGTCATTGACCAAAGAAAATCTGATGTTTAACAAATCCCTAACACAAAATATACAGGAAATATGGGATACCATGAAGAGGCCAAACCTGAGAATAATAGGTATAGAAGAAGGTGAAGAAATGCAGCTCAAAGGTACAGAAAACATATTCAGTAAAATCATAGAGGAAAATTCCCTAACCTAAAGAAGGACATACATAAGAAAGTGCAAGGATCTTACAGAATGCCAAATAGAGTGGACCAGAAAAAGACATTCCCTTTGTCACATGATAACCAAAATATCAAACACACAGAATAAAGAGAAAATATTAAGAACAGTGAAGGAAAAAGGCCAAATAACATATAAAGGCAGACTTATCCGAATTATACCCAACTTCGCAATGGAAACTATGAAAGCCAGAAGGTCCTGGATAGATATCCTAAAAATGCTAAGAGAACAAACATACCAGCCCAGACTACTGTATTCAGCAAAGCTTTCAATTACCATAGATGGAGAAAACAAGATATTCCATGACAAAACCAGATGTAAACAATACATATCCACAAATCCAGCCCTATAGAAAGTACTGGAAGGAAAACTTCAACCCAATGAAAACAACTACACTCACAAAAATGTAGGTAATAGATAATCCCTCTTTACCAAACACCAAAAGAAAAAAAGGGGGGGTAATCCACACACATAACACCACCAACAACAAATCCAAAACAAACAAGAATCAGCAATCAATGATCATTAATGTCCCTCAATGTCAATAATCTCAACTAGCCTATAAAAAGACAGAGAATAACAGAATGGATATGAAGACAGAACACATACTTATGCTGCTTAGGAGAAACACATCTCAATGTCACAGACAGATGTTACCTCACAGTAAAAGGGTTGGGATTTTCCAATCAAACAGACCCAAGAATGAAGCTGGTGTAGCAATCCTAAAATCTACCAAATTAGACTTCAAACTAAAATCATCAAAAGAAACGAAGAAAGACATTTCATATTCATCATAGGAAAAATCCATCAAGATGAAGTCGCAATTCTAAACATCTGCATCACCAATACAAAGGCACTCACATTCAAAAAATGAACATTATTAAACTCTAATCACACGTAAAATCTCACACACTAGTAGTAGGAGACATTAGCACACCCTCTCACCACTAGGCAGGATCTCCAGACATTAACTTAACAAGGAAATAATATAACTAACAAGTTAAGACGCAATTGGGATTAACAGACACTATAGAACTTTCCATCCAAACACAAAAGAATATACCTTCTTCTCAGCTCCACATGGAACCTTATCTAAAATTGGCCACATAATTGGAAACATAGCAAACGTCCACAGATACAAAAAAATTGGAATAACACCCTGTATCTTATCAGACCACCATGCGTTAAAGTTAGAATTTTCAACAACACAAATTGCAGAAACCGTACAAATGCATGGAAATTGAACAATGCACAATTGCACTATCCCTGGGTCAAGGAAGAAATAAAAAAAGAAATTAAAGACTTCCTGGAATTCAATGAGAATGAAGACACAACATACTCAAATTTATGGGACCCTTTGAAAGCAGAGCTGAGAGGAAAGTTCATAGCACTAAGTGCCCACATGAAGAAACTGGAGAAGAGTGACAATAGAGAATCACAAATAAGAGCTCTAGAACAAAAAGAAGCAAAATCACCAAGGAAGAATAGACCCTAAGAAATAATCAAATTGAGGGCTGAAAAAAATAAAGTAGAAACCAAGAAAACATTGCAAACAATCAATGAAACAAAGAGTTGTTTCTTTGAGAAAATCAACAAGATAGACAAACCTTTATCCAAATTAACCAAAAGACAGAGAGAGACCATGCTAATTAAGAAAATCATAAATGAGATGGAGGGCATTACAATGGACACTGAGAAAATCCAGAGAATCATCAGGTCATACTCTTAAAACCTGTACTCCACAAAAATCAAAAATTTAAAGGAAATGGACCATTTTCTGGATAGATATCATTTGCCAAAATTAAATCAAGAATAGATAAGCAGTCTAAACACTATAACCCTTAATGAAATAGAAGCAGTCATCAAAAGTCTCCCAACCATAAAAAGCCCAGGCCCAGACAGCTTCAATGCAGAATTCTACCAGAAATTCAAAGAAGAGCTAATTCCAATACTCCTCAAAGTGTTCCCCACAATAGAAGCAGGAAGCTCATTGTCAAACTCTTTTTGTGAGGCTACAATTACCTTGCCACCCAAGCCACACAAATACACAACTAAGAAAGAGAACTACCAACCAATATCCCGCATGAACACTGATGCAAAAATCCACAAGAAAATACTAGCAAATTGAATCCAAGACTACATCAGAAAAATCATTGACCATGATCAACTAGGCTTCATCCCAGGGATACAGGGATGATTCAACATATGAAAATCTGTCAATGTAGTTCTCCATATAAACAACGTGCAAAGGAAAAACCACATGATCATCTCACTCAATGCTAAAAAAGTCTTTGACAAAATCCAACACCCCTTCATGATAAAAGTTCTGGAGAGATCAGGGATAACAGGAGCATTCCTATACATAATAAAAGCAATATACAGTAAACCAACAGCTAACATCAAGCTAAATGGAGAAAAACTCAATACAATTCCTCTAAAATCAGGAAAAGGACAAGGCTGTCCACTCTCTCCACATCTCTTCAATAGTGTATTTTAAGTTCTAGCTAGAGCAAAAAGACAACAAAGGGAGATGAAGTAGATACAAATTGGAAAGGAAGATGTCAAATTTTCACTATTTGTAGATGATATGATAGTTTACATAAGTGACCTGAAAAACTCGACATGGGAACTCCTACAGCTGATAAACACCTTCAGCAAAGTGGCAGGATACAAGATTAACTAAAAAAAATCAGTATCCCTATAATATACAGACGATAAAAATGTTGAGAATGAAATCAGAGAAACATCACCCATTACAATAGTCCCAAGCAATATTAAATATCTGGGGATAATGCTAACCATACAAGTGAAAGACCTGTATAGCAAGAACTTTTGAGTCTTTAAAGAAAGAAATGAAGGAAGATACCAGAAAATTGAAAGATCAACCATGCTCTTGGATAGGTAGGATCAATATAGTAAAAATAGAAATCTTGCCAAAAGCAATCTACAGATTCAATTCAATCTTCATCAAAATACTGGCACAATTCTTCACAGAACTTGAAAGAACAATACTCAACTTTATATGGAAAAACAAAAGACCCAGGAAAGCAAAAACAATCTTGTACAATAAAGGGACTTCTGGAAGTATCACCTTCTCTTACTCAAGGTCTATTATAGACTTATAGTTCTGAAAACAGCTTGGTATTGACACAAAAATATATAAGTAAACCAATGGAATCAAACTGAATACCCTGATGTTAACCCACACACCTAGGAACACTTGATTTTTGACAAAAAAGCTAAAATTATGCAGTGGAGAAAAGACAGGATCTTCAACAAATGGTACTGGCATAACTGGATATTCGCATGAAGAAGACTGCAGAAACATCCATGTCTATCGACATGCACAAAACTTAAGTACAAATAGATCAAAGACCTCAACATGAATCCAGCCACACTAAATGTCTTACAAGAGAAAGTGAGAGGTAGTCTTGAATGAATTGGTACTGGAGACTGCTTTGTGAACATAACTCCAGTAGTACAGACACAGAGATCAAAAATTAACAAATGGGACCTCCTGAAACTGAGAAACTTCTGTATTCAAAGGACACAGTCAACAAGACAAAAAGGCATCCCACAGAATGGGAAAAGAAATTCACTAATACCACATCTGACAGAGGGCTGATCTCCAAAATTTACAAAGAACTACAGAAGCAAGTCTCCAAAACACTACAGGATCCAATTAAAAAGTGGGGTGCAGAACTAAATAGAGAATTCTCAATAGAGTATTGTAAAATGGCTGAGAATCACTGAGAAAGTGCTCAACATCCTTGTCATTAGGGAAATGCAAATCAAAACAACTCTGAGATACCATCTTACTCCTGTCAGAATGGCTAAAATCAAAACACCAATGACAATTTATGCTGGAGAGGCTATGGAGAGAGGGGAACAATCCTCCACTGCTGTGGGAGTGCCAACTTGTACAGCCACTTTGGAAACCAGTGTGGATATTCTTCTGGAAAACGGAAATCAGTTTACCCCAAGACCCAGCAATTCCACTCTCAAGCATATACCCAAAAGATGCACATTCATACAACAAGACTGTTGGTTCCACTATATTCATAGCAGTATTATTTGTAATAGCCAGAACCTGGAAGCAACCTAGATGCCCCTCGAATGAAGAGCGATAGAGAAAATGTGGTACATTTACACAATGGAGTATTATTCATTGAAAAAAAACAATGGTATCTTGAAATTTGCAGGTAAATGGATGGCACTAGAAGAAACCATCCTATGTGAGGTATCCCAGTCACAAAAAGACAAACATGGTATGTACTGACTCATACATGAATTTTAGACATGGATTAAGGGAGTGTCAGGCTATAATCCCACTGCCAGAGAGTCTGAGAAACAGGAAAGGACCATAAGAGAGATATGCATGGTACCCCAGAGAAGGGAATTGAGCCAAAATCCCCTAAGCAGATTGGGAGCATGTGGGGAGAAGGAGGGGGGAAGAAAAATGGAGAAGAGGTGAGAGTCGGACATGGGGGAGCAAGAAAATTAAGTCAGGGAAAGAATAGAGGAGAGCAGGATGAGAGATACCATAATAGAGTGAGTCATTATAGGTTTGAGGAGAGATCTAGCACTAGTGAGATTTCCAGAGATCTACAAGGATGACACCATCTGGCAAATTAAGCAAGAGTAGAGAGACTACATTAAATGCCCCTCCCTGATAATGAGTTTGATGACTACCTTTTATGCCATCTTATAACCTTTATCCAGTGACTAATGAAGGCAGAGGCAGACACCCACAGCCAAACACTTAACTGAACTCCTGGAACCCAGTCACAGAGAGGGAGGAATGATGAGCAAAGGGGTCATAACCTGGATTGTTTAACCTACAGAAACAGCTAACCTAAACAATAGGGAGCTCTGGGACCACTGACTGATGACTGGGAGGCCAGCATGGGAATGACACAGACCCCTGAAAGTGGTTGTCAACTAGGAGGACTGGACAATCTGTGGAGCCTTGGGCAGTAGATTAGTACTTTTGCCTGGCATACAAATGGACTTTGGGTGCCCCTCCCACAATGTGGTATGTTCTCAGCCTGGACTCTTTGGGAAGGGCCTCGGCCCTGCACTGAATGAAATAACAGTCTCTCAATATCCTCCATGGAGGACCTCACCTTCCCTGGGGAATGGAGTAGGGGTTGGGAGAGGGCTGGAAGAGTCTGGGGGTGGGGGAGGAGGGGAGGGAGATGGGAGCTGGGATTGACATGTGAAACAAACTTGTTGCTAATTTAAATTAAAAAATTACCTCTAGTACACCTAGACATTTTCCATGTAAGCACACACTATTCTATTATTTCATTTATTTTAAATCTTTTCACCTAATACAATATTTCTTTGTATAAAAAAACAAAGAATTCAAGCAGAAGGGGGTGGAACTCTTTCTGATCTTCATAAGGAGTTTATCCACTTATTTTATAACATGTGGCATGTGGTTGGTTATGCATAACAAATAATTTGGGCATTCTGATTCCAATAGAAATAAGTAAATGACGGATTCAATAGTTTTATTTTAAATGTCAGTCTAACACAAGCTACAATTTATATCCTATGTTTAAATTTATGATAAACAGGTTCGATGTCAACTTCAAATTTAAAGAAGACACATGGTATCTTTTCTTCAGATTCAGCAGTAATATACTAACAAAATATTTGAGTGCCCTTCAGCTCTATAAAGTATAAATGTATTAAATTTTACATAAATACTATCATTCTTTTTTAATGAAATGATTATGCTAAAAGGTAAATGCTGTTTTCTTATTTCTATTGATCATTTAAGGTCATATTAATTGAGACAATATTATCAGTCAAATTTGTAAATCTATACAATCAAAGTTAAGTTATAGGACTCTAAAAGAATAAACATTCCTCAAAAGAGTTTGCTATCTAATGTATTTCTGAGTACAGAATATTTATTCCAAATTCAGGACGTTGTTCAAACATCAGGTTATTATTTTCTATGTTTTTACTATGCTTTGATTGCCGATCTGCTATGGCATATATTTTCTATTCACGTTGCAATAGACAATTTTACCATAATGTGCTGTTAAGTGTACACATTGTTTCTTTATACTCTTAGGGGCTCACAGTTGGATACATAGACATACGTACATGCATACAAATACACACACACACACACACACATGACTTTTAAATTATTTGGATTTTATGGCTATAAAATATTTGAAAGTAGAATGCATTATATTGTGAACCTCCTATGAGGTTTGATGGAGAAAAGCATTATATTGTCTTTACAATTTAATTTGATTATCATTTTCTAAATATTTTCCTTTTTCTTCTTTCCTTTCTTGCTTCCTTGCTGTGATGTCTATATGCTTTCATCTCCATATATTTATGTTTTTTAAAGTGATCAGACAAAAATGGTGGATTGTGCAAATTGATTTTGATGTCAACTTGCCACAAATTAGAATTGTCTCAGTAGGGACCTCAACTGAAAAGTAGTCCTAATTGTCTTCATTTCTGTGCACCCCCCAACAAGTGTGGGTGAAACCTTCTCATAGCAGCCTAGATTTGAAAAGTAGAGTCAAACACACACTATTAACCTTGTGCCTTTCTGGTTTTCCTCCTGCTGCTAGGTTGATTTAACCTGTTCCTGCTGATGAAGATTGTTTTGCTGATACTAGAAACATATTTACAGTATCCGTCCATTGACTAAGGACTATCAGCTTTCCAGGAAACTTCTAAGGTTCTAATACCACAATCTAGCCCTGTACATGCTCACAGAATCATCTGTATCATGACTCAGAAGCTGTTATCTTAGTCACATTAGGATTGATGATTTGCAGCTAGGAACAAGAGACAAGAGACAATATGTGGCATTTGTCTTCCTGTGTCTTGATTATGTCACTCCCTATCTTTCTGTTCCCAAGAAACCCCTTTTCCAAAAAAAATGGTCTCTGCTTGCTAAAACTAAGTAATCTCCTTATGTGTGGGATAAAGGACTTTTTGTTCCTCCATTCCAAATACCTGTGGTGCCTATTAGCATATCAAAGTGTATGCTAGCCTTTAGGCTCCTTCAATCACTTCCCCTAAAATTAGGAATAACACAGGAATCTACTCTTCCCATACTTATTCAAATACATCTTGAAGTCTTAGCTAGAGCAACAAGACGTTTGAAGGAAATAAAGAAGATGTGAACAGGGAAAGAAGAAGTAAATTTTCTTCACTTGAAGATGATAAAATTTTATATATATAAAATGTCTTAAATACTCTACCAGGAATATTCTTCAGTTGATAAACACTTTCAGCAAATTAGCCAGGGACAAAGCTAACACAAAAAAATCAGTAATCTTCCTATAGACAAATGGAAAACATAAAGAAAATTCAGGGGAACAGGGCTTTTCATAATAACCCCATAGAAACCCTGGGATAAGTCTAACCAAGCAAGTGAAAGACTTGTATAAAAATAAATGTTAAATCATTGAAGTAAAAAATTAAGGAAGACAAGATAAAAATGTAAGATCTTTTATCCTCATGGTTTAGTACAATTAATATTTTGAAATTGGCCAAAAGCATTTTACAGATTCAAACAAAAGCATCAAAATTACAATACAATTCTTCACAGATAAGGGTGTAATCTCTCATGCATTGCTCCAGTGCAATGCCTGCCAGCCTGCTGCCAGGCTCCCTGACTAGATGGTAATGGACTCACTCTATGAAACTGGGAGTCTGGAATGTGCTCTATCTTCTATATGTTGATTTGGTCAAGTACCTTCATAGAAGTGAGAACTTACGCTAGACAGACATAAATACAAATATGTTTTATAAGTATTTCTACATATAAATATTATAAAATAACATTTAATATTAATTTATCATAATAATATATTAATTTTGAATATGACTTTTTGAAATATTCCCTATGTCATTTATCACTCCTTCACTATCCTCCTGATTTTGTTCCTATCCCCTCCTCAGTTTGTTTTTTATTATTCCTTTGTCATCCACTATTTTTGTCAATCATTTCATAACAAAATAGGTATCAGATATACAATTGACAAATAATGTGTCCCACTCTGTGTGGTTCTCCTTCACTAGAATTACTTTTTTTTGTTTGTTTGTTTTTTGAGACAGGGTTTCTCTGTATTGTTTTGGAGGCTGTCCTGGAACTCAGTCTGCAGACTGGGCTGGCCTCAAACTCCGAGAGATCCACCTGCCTATGCTTCCCGAGTGTGTGTGCCACCAACGCCCGGCCTAGAATTATTGTTAATTTTGTTATGCAGAGCATTTTCATTTTATGAAGTCCCAGTTCTCAATTGGAAACTTTACAATAGATGTCAAAGTAAATCACATCATTATAAGGAAATACCTTAGTATTCTGTCATTCAGTAAGTTAGAAAGCCTGAAAGAAAAGGAAAAATTGCTACCTTCATCCATATAACTACTAATAAGGCAAAAAGATGCCTAAAAATGAACAAAAAGTTTGAAACAATACTGAAAATCTTTCAGAGTACAAGATACTCAGGTTAGATTGATTCCCAGGATAATTCTACCATCCGTTTAAAGCACTATAATAAGTAGTTATTGACCTATTCTAATAAAAATAGTAATGGGGGGAATGCACTTACCCATGTATTCTCCAAAGCCAGTTTTATTCTGTGTTTCATAACTAGATAAAGACAATACCAAAAGAGAATACTACAGGCTAACCTTGAGGGACATATACGTAAAAATTCTAAATAAAATACTGTCACTCAAGGGGGGTAGTTACTACACAACAGAGTTGACTCAGGGTCCACTGAAAGACTTAGAAATCTGACTATGAGCCTGCCACTATTTCTCTGATGATCCTACCAACCTTAGGGTCTTTTATGGTTCCAAGCACATGCTCTTAATAGAGCTTCCTTCTTAGGCCATATTTTTTTTTTACAAGAGAGGGTTTCTCTGTATTATTTTGGAGGCTATCGGTCCAGCCTGGCCTCGAACTCACAGGGATCTGCCTGCCTCTGCCTCCCGAGTGCTGGGATTAAAGGCATGTGCCACCACCACCCAGCTCTTAGGCCATAATTAAATTGCCATTCAAGAAAGATTGAGAGCCCCAGTCACTTTGAGGCAGGAAGGTTAGGGACCTATGGCCAGTCTGTGTTCCACCTGGAGACCTGGTTTTTGGTTTTGGTTGATTTGAAAAGCAGTTGAGTGCTTTCCTGCCCTCTGTGGAGGCCTGAAACTGGAATTAGATTTTGTTGCCTTACCAATTTAAGTTGCAGGTAAGACTCTGGGGACTTCCAGGTTGCTCTGCTCCTGGGATCTAGGGACTGTAGAATCACAAACTGTGGGGTGTGGAAATCCTAGAGAGGCCCATAGAGATGTCTGTTTTATGCATGGCACATGCCTGTTCCAGAGTCCTTTCCCTTTATTTTCTAGCTCAGGGGCACAGGAAATGTTCCAGAACCCGGCCATTCACAGGGAATGTGCCCTCCCTTCCATGTGCAGACAGCGTCCTTGTTGTAGGCCTGACCTCTGCCATTGTAAGCTCCTCTGATACCTGCATAGAACACTGCATGGGACTCTGCTGCCCCCAGACCCTACTTCACTTCCTACAATATCCCTATCTGACACAAATTACAGTGTAAACTCCTACCTACATTTGTGGGGTCCCAGGATCTGAACATCTCTGCTTGGGCTCCTCTCATGTCCACACTGAATGCCCTGTTACCAAACTAGCTACAGCTGACTTGTGCCCTCACTTGACTCCTTTCCTCATGCTTCTTGTACATCTGTCTCCCTACAGCTGTGTCCGTGTCTTCATGCTTCCCTCCTTCTCAGCTTTCACATTCCAAATGCCCACCTTATCATGTGGAGTTGTGGATGTTCCAAGCAAAATGATGCTGAGCATGGCAGTCCTGGCAAGGATGCCTAGTGACTGTGGGAATATGCCTTTTCTGTGACTGAGTGTCATTTACCTCCCTCCTGGTCATATTCTTATGGCAGTAACCCAATACCAGACTGTGTAAATACTGGAGAGATATACTTTGCTGGGAAAGGAGGGTGCAGGTGTCACAAGTCTGTCATTCCAGTGTTGAGGATAGTAACATAAAATGATTCAGAGTTCCAGACCAACCTTGGTGATAGAAACTCTGGTTAAAGAAGGCAAGTGTGAGCTGGGCAGTGGTTGCACACGCCTTTAATCCCAGCACTTGGTAGGCATAGGCAGGCAGATCTCTGTGAGTTCGAGGCCGGGCTGGACTGACAGTCTCCAATACAATACAGAGAAACCCTGTCTCATAAAAACCAAAAAAGAAAAAAAGAAAAAGAAAGAAAAAAAAAGGAAGGCAGGTGTGACACGGTGAGCATTCAGTTGGTGAAGGGTTTTCCTAGGTTACACAAAGCTGTAAGCTCCATATCTCCATATCAGCACCACATAAACATGTCTTGACATCTAGGCAGGAAGGAAAATCAGGCTGTGAAAGTTAGGCTTGGCTGCATGGTGAGTTGGAATAAGAATAACAATTGACCCTGCTCAGAGCTTCCTGAGGCCTGGGGACTGAATGTACGGGAGCCTTCCCAGCAGATCAGCCTATGCAGTGTCTGCCATTGTCCTAGTCCTGTCCTGACCCATGGCATGAAGCAAGCATGGGCCTGTTTCTGACCTGCTGTCTCGTGCCCTTCTTGGGGCCTCCTGAGGTCTGGGAACTGTACACAGAGGAACCCATCCTGGCAGACCAGACCATCCAGAGGCTGTCAGCATTGCAGTGCTAGTCCTGCCTCCACCCACAGGAAGAGGAGAGCCATGGAAATATTGGACCTTCTTACATCAACCAGAAGAGAACCTTGGATCTGTACCACCAGGAGAGCTAGTAGACCCCACTGGCACTCACTGGCAGTAGGGATGGGAAGACCAATATGATGCCACCAGTATCTAGAATTCCACACCAGGAAGACTTGAACATCCCAACACAGATGAAGCAGAAGAGAGTGACCTAGAAAACAACTTTATAAAAAAGATAGAGAACCTCAAAAAGGTAATGAGATAACCCCTTAAAGAAATGGAAGAAAAAACAAAAAAATTCAAGAAATGGAGGAAAAGACAAACCAAAAATTGCAACAAATAACAACAACACTTCAAGAAGTAAAAAAAAAAAGCCAAGAAAAACCAACCAAGTATGTCAAGGAATTAATTAAATCAGTGCAATGCTAGAAAGCTGAAATAAAGAAAATAAGACACACACACACACACACACACACACACACACACACACACACTGTCTGAGGTAATGTTCAGAATAGAAAAGCTGGACAAACTGTTAAGAACTACAGATGTAAGCATAACCAATAGAATACAAGAGATGGAAGGGAGAATCTCATGTGTTGAAGATACACTAGGAGAAAGGGATTCATTGACAAAAGAATGTCTAATTCTAGCAAATCCCTAATGTGAAATATCCAGGAAATATGGGACACCATGAAAAGATCAAGCCTAAGAATAATAGATATAGAAGAAGGTGAAGAACCAAACTCAAAGGTACAGAAATAATATTCGACATAGAATAAATCTTTCCCAACCTATTGAAAGATATGCCAATGAAAGTACAGGAAGCTTACAGAACACCAAATAGAGTGGACCACAAAAAAGAAATACCCTCACCACATAATAATCCAAACACCAACCATACAGAATAAAGAAAGAATATTAAGAGCAGCAAAGGAAACAGACCAAGTAACATATAAAGGCAAACCTATAAGAAATACTTCTCCATGGAATCTTTGAAGCCAGAACTTCCTGGATAGATATTCTACCAACTCTAAGAGACCACAGAAGCCAGCCCAGACTACTATTTGTTGAGGTTTGCTATGTTGCCGAGTATCTGGTCCATATTAGAGAAGGTTCCAAAGCTTTCAATCACTATAGAGGGGGAAAACAAGATATCCCATGGCAAAACAAGATTTAAACAATATATATCTACTGAAAATATACTATAGAAAGTTCTGGAAGGAAAACTCCAACCCAAGGAAGTTAACTATACTCACAAAAAATAGGCAATATAATCCCACTATACCAACAGCCAAAGAAATGGGGGAGATCCACACTTAACACCACTACCAAGGACAAATTCAAAGCAAATAAGCATTAACAATCAATGGTCATTAGTGTCCCTCAATATTAATTGTCTTAACATGCCTATAAAAAAGCAAAGGCTATCAGAATGGATATAAAGA